CCCCCCGCCCTGTCAGCCGGACCTTAATCCGCGCCTGTGCGGGGAAAGGGCAGGGATGAGGATTAAACCAGGAGGTTCCGTTTTGTTGCTGTTGCTAAGCTGAAGCAGCGGCGTGAGTGAGGGGTGGAGGGGACACTCCCGCTGAAATTGGTCTCTGTTGGCGGAAACGATGAAGACGCTCGACTCGCGCCGCCGGCTGCTGCGGCCGCGGGCGTCCGAGTGCAGAATAGCCGAGAGGCGCGGCGGGGCGGGGCGGGGCGGGCGTGCGAAGACCTCAGCCTTGAGCGAGACATGTTAACTGCCCCCGCACCCTGCGGCGGCGTGTCGCGTCGTCGCCCAGAGGGGGTGCAGCGCAGCACGCGGCGAGGGTGGGAGTGGCGGGGCACACACGTGACTATCTCAGGGGTCACCGACAACGACGGCACTATGGTCATCGCGAGAGAGACAGACTTATTACAGGTGACCCAGAGGAGTGAGAGAGCGAGAATGACAACAAAGTAGCCCGCGGGCCGCTTAGCCGGGCCGGGACCCCTGGACTATCTCGAACTTCGCGCTATCGAAGAACAACGACCCGTAGAGTGCGGTGTCTGGGAAGGGCGGGGAAGGACCGGGTGCCTCCGCCAATATACCTACCTGTGCCCTCCCAAGGGGCGGGGTCCGGGGCCCGACCCGGACGCGGGTACGCCAGCCGCCTCGCCGTCGCCCCTCCATGTGAGGTCGTGGCGTGGCGTGGCGGGGCAGGCGGGGCGCGGGCCGCCGTGGCCGCCGTCAGACCGCCCCGTCAGGCCGGCGCGGCGCGGGCCCGGGCGTGCATGTGGTGGCAGTCAGTCTGCCGTCCTCCTCCGCCGCGCGCGCTCCTCAAGCCGCGCTCCTGCTGCACATGCGGGTGGTCCCCTCCGGTCCCCTCCGTCCTGCCCGTATAGTGTCCCCCTCCCACTCGTGCGGCGTGTCTCTTCTCGCCGTCACTTGCTGCTGCTACAGCCCAGCGCGCCGCGCCCTCCTCCCCGCGGCCGCGTTACAGTGTCCCCGCTGACGAGCGGCACCATGCCCTGGAGGTCCTGGACCTGACGGCCGCCCGTCCTCTGTCGTGTCCCCCGATGGGCAACTAGAGGCACAAGTAGTGTTGTTGTTGCTGCTTCTGCCTGACGGCGCGGGCGGCCGAGTGCGCGCCGTGCAGCCGCCGCCGACGCTTCCCGTCGGCCGGACAAGGTCGCCACCTGCAGCCTCGGCGGCAGCCTCCCTCACGCTCGCGCAATCGGGCGCGGCGCGACGCGAATCAGCGCCATGACCGGCCCAATGTTGGACACTGAGCGGGCCGACCTGGCCCTTGAGTACCTCAGGTACGTGCATGGTGCGGTGCCGGTGCTTCCCCCTGGACCAACGACTGTGTACACTGATAAACTAAGTGGTCAACTGCTCAACACGTCCAAGTGTGCAATTGCAAGTTGAATGCCTGCAAGTGTTCAACTCGATAGGTGTGCACTTGCAAGTGTGCAACTCCTCGGTTAAGCACTTCCTAAACAGTGAGCGTTCAATCTACGGACGTGTTCAACCGAGGATTTGCACACTACTTGCAAAGTGCACACCCACCGAGTTGAACACTTGCAAGTGTACAACGGCGGACTTGCACACTTACAAGTGTTGAGCAGTTGAACACTTACAGTTTATCAGTGAGTGTACAGTGCCCCTTGCTGCAATCATTGTCACGTGAAGTGTCGGATCACTTTCCCTACTGTGCCTTTTTACTATGTGTTGATGTGTGACGATTAAATGCCACCATTTAAAGTGATATGCCGGCAAATCGACCGGGCCTCTCGCTTAAGTCATGCGGGCCAACCGGAAAATTTTCCGGAAAGTTATACAAATGTTAATAAATAGGGGACTGAAAAGGTGAAAGGGTGTCATTGTGTGTTCTGCGCATGTGCAAGCCGGAACATTTTCGGGGAACATCGCGGGAAAATGTTTGCTGTGGTTCACATTTATTTATTTTGTTTACCTGCTGTTCTTTCCTAAATCGTAGCTTTTTAAGGTGTAGTATGAAAGGACTTCCCAGCCGGCGGATCTGTCATAAAAGCCACCTGAAAGTAAATCGGAAAATTTATTAGAGAGAAAGTGGAGCGAGTGCGTTCTGTTTGATGCCCCCCGCCATGGCGCGCCACTGCTGGACGTTTATTTCTGTGACGTGGGCGGGCGCCCTTCTGCCGCCGGAGCGGACGGTCCCGGGACGCGGACCCGCCGGGCCGGTTCCTTCCTCGGCGCCGTGCTTCTTTATGGAAATGAGGTACTCCTCGGTGCGCCGGACGGGGCCTGGTTCGGCTGACCTAATGGCACAGCAACCGAAAGCGAGCGTCGTATGACACCTCCGGAAAAACACCGAGCTCCGATGAGCGCCGCGTGCTCGGCGGCAGATGGGCTTACGTTCTCTCCGAGTTGTTTCCTGTACGTCACATGAGGTCGTTATTCCCCCGTCCTTGGCACGTCTCCACTACTGACTATAAATCCATCTCGCGTGACACGATTTTTTGTTCCGTTTTGCTGAATTTCGCGGGGCCTTCCTTTTGGGCACGCAAAATTTGGGGTGTTATTTCGATAATCGCGGACACAGTGTACTCGTCTCGTAGCACCCGGGCCTACAATGGCGCGGGTGGGCCGGACCCACCGGAGCGCGCGGTCACCGCGCTGCGCTTTCGTCCGACTCGCGCCCGCCTTCCAGTGTAAAAGGCGTCAAGCTGCCTTCCTCGAGCGCGCGCCGCGGCCGCGAGGGGCGCCACCGGCGCGGGCGACACCTCGCCGACGTACGCCGGGGCCAGGGCTGAGGCCGCGGCCGAGAGCAAACGTAAACAAAACGACAGTCATCTCGGCGTCCAACTGTGATACGTCCCCGCGCGACTAGGGCCCCAATTTAGTCTTAGACAAACGAGTTTTAGGATCAAGCACAATGCACTGTACTTGCTCCTAGAATTCTCAAGTACAAGTTACAAGTTGATTTGTATTAAGGCTTTGAAAAGAACAGTGCACTCGATCCAAGGACTGTTTGGAGGGTGTAACTCCGCCGCCTGTCACGGCGGCGTGGACTGATCGTGCGCGAAGCGTGCACAGCCAATTATGTATTTGCACTGATTCGCAATTATTTACTCGCAGAGGGGGCGTTATCAGACAAGTACCTGGCCGGGCGAAAAGGTGCCACCTTATGTCATCCGCCCCCCACCGCCATCGCCACCCCCCACCACGCGACGCGGCCCAGCGCCGCCACGCTCGCGCCTGCGCCAGGGACTATCTCGCCGTTCTGATGAGGCCATCTCTCTGAAACAAATTAGCGGATTAATACGGATTAGCCCGCCAGACTTTGTCCCGCCGCCGCCGCCTGGGCGCCCCTCGAGTGGAAGCTAAAGGCCTGGCTAGTCCGTCCGTCTGTCCCGTCGGCGTGGCCGGGGCTGAGCCCTTGAGCTCTTCAAACACGGGGATGAAGGCTCAGGAGCGAGAGTGCTGACTGCTCTCTCCCTTCCGCTTTCGCTGGCCGCCTTGCACCCCTCCCCTCCTCTCCTCCCCATCTTTCCCAGTACCGGGAGAATGTTGGCGTGGCCGACTGGAGCGTCGCGATGGCTGTTTAGCTCGGTCGGCTTCCACTCGTACCGAAGATAATGGAAAAGTCCTGCCCGGGTAGAGGTCGGATGGAGGGGGGGGGGGGGGGGCTTGCTGATTATGGCCCCATTACCTTTCCATCACGGCCACGCCGACCCGCCCGGCCCGCTCGGCCCTGATTGCAGCCTTAAGTCCTTTTAAGAGTAGTTTTGTGTCGCTGGAAGGAAAAACGCGCCGCGAGCGGTCCGCGCCGCGAGCGGTCCGCGCCGCGGCCCGAACCTGAGCCGGTGTTTTCTTCCTCGCGTTTTGCAAACGGCCCGCACCGAGGACACCGAGAACGATGTCGATCTGAGCAGCGCCATCGCCGGAGAATGGGTTCACAGGATACACCGTCGGCGCCGTGCTGGTTTTGTCTTGTCACTGCACCGGAAGGTTTTCTTTACATTTCATCTTTGATCCCTCAGGGCCTCGGTGGGCATGAAGGCGGCCGCCAACAAGGTGTGGCCGTCTACCGCGCCGGTGGACGTCAAGGCGACTGAGGCGGCGACGGGTGGCGGCGTCGCCCTCGGCCCCCTGGGCGTGGCGCCTGCGTCGTCCCCGGCGCCGCCGCCGCCTCCCGGGGGCCCGCCCCCTGGACCGCCCGCCGACCAGGCCGACCAGCCGTGGCGGGAGGACCCCGACTACGACCCCTTCGCCGAGCGCGTCGTCCGCCTGCCCTACTCGTGAGTAAGCCAGTGAGCCCCGGGTTCACGTCCTAGACCCGGGACAAATTGCGCACAAATCGACCCCGGTCGACCCCACGCCCCAGTGTTGCAGGGACGTCGGCGCGCTGGCCCACCTGCTCAAGGGCGCCCTGGGCGCGGGGCTGCTCGCCATCTCCCTGGGCTTCAAGATGAGCGGCCTCGGCGTGGGCGTCGCCAGCGGGGTCGTCATCGCCATCGTCTGCACCCACTGCTGCACGCTGCTGGTACGTAACACTCTGTAAGTACGGAGGATGCCTAAGAAAGCGCCGTCATCTTCAGGCTGACCGTGGTACGGATTTAAATTTTCTTGTGAAGTATTTCTGGGAAATTTTCGTAGCATGTGTATTTTTCAATCCCCGATTTTTCCTGGGAAAATAAGAAGAAATCTCCTGTTTTCTGGAAATATTTCAATTTTTTTCTGATTTCTTCTAAATTTTGAACTGAAAAATCCCTATACCGTGCCGTATGAATGGCGTGCCGCCCCGGGGATTTTTCAGACCGAAAATTTTCTATAGAAGAAATCAACACAGCATCACAAACGACCACCAGCACCTGGGCACCTGTTCCCTTCCTCGCGACTGACCGGTCACTCGCCCTCCACAGGTGGAGAGCTCCCGCGTCGTGTGCAGGCGGCTGCGCGTCCCCAGCCTGGACTTCCCCAGCACCGTGGAGGCGGCCTTCCTCACGGGCCACGCGCGCTTCCGCCGCTACGCGCGCCTCTGCCGCTTCATGGTCAACTTCATGCTCTGCTTCACCTACCTGGGGCTGCCCATCATCTTCATCGTCGTCATCTCCTCGTCCGTGCAGCAGGTGACAGCGCCGACCAAATAATATCGACAATTTGGGAAAATTGAAACAATGACGTAATGACGTGTGGAGATGGGAGTTTTGCGGCACTGCGCTCGACTGAGACTCGATGGTAAAAGACAAATTTTGATGGGGGAAAAAATTGAAAAGGGGGTGGGGGAGGGGGAAGACCGGGACCGAGTGCGAGGGGTAGCGGCAGCCGGTGAATACCCCACGACGCGCTCCCCGGGGGTATCGACGGTGGGAGGGAACGATTGCAGTGAAGCTGTGGGGCGGTGGCGAATAGTAGGTAGAGGGAGGGAAATGGAACAAAAGTATTGGGAGAGAAGAGAAGAGGAGGAGAGGGCAGCGCAAAGTGGATAGACACAAGCGACGAGGGGGTGTGAAGAGAAAAAGAGAGAGCGTGGGAGGGAGGGAGAGAGAGAGGGAGGAAGAGCCAGGGGTGTGGATTGAAAACAGCGCGAGAGGATCGCGTTGTGCACGTCTCGCCTGTCTCGCTCGTTAATCCCGTTGCGGTCGTCTGGCCCGGCGCAGCTCCGCACAGCTCTGTTGCATCATGTCACGCGTGTTGGGCCTGCCGCGTTTTGTGTTGCTGCGCTGACGCCACTCGGCCAAAACGCTCCCTCGGCAAAGTACCTTGGAAAATATAATTCTCAAATTAAGAAGGCTTGGGTCCGGCTGCACCGAAAAACATAGTTTACAGCATGAGCCCTGGGGGGAGCCACGGTCGGATTTTGTAGGGACACTGTTTACGCGCGAGAGCATACAGTATACAGTATGAATGCCCTATGTGTTTCTCAGCAACTACAGTATCAGGGGAAAAGATAAAGCCTTTGCGATTCGGTCCGAACGTATAGGCTCTCCCCACCACTTCCTCCCCTAGGCGAGGGCACGAGCGAGGGCAGAGCGTCACCCCCTTTCAGCAGCATACACGCTACGTAAATTGTATGTCTTTGTGCAAACGTTTGCACTAAGTTGAACCTACGTTTCATTTCGCATAAATTTGTACTATAAAGTGCATGATTCCCTAAAATGAATGCACGAAAGTGTTCAAATCAACGCAAAAATATATGCAGTGCAGAAAATTTGCGATTGCTTAAATTCGAAGATACAAATCCAGTTAGCGTGTAGCGAGGGCCGGGAAGAGCGCACTTTCGAACCGAATAGCGAATGGCCGGAGCATTTATCGCTGGAATGCAGCTTGTCACCGGCTGTTCTGATCCTTTAGAGCTCGTATGCGTAAGTGTGTGGTTCTGCGCAGTGCAATGTTGCGCAGATCAGCGCAGCGCAGTGCAGATCAGTGCACTGCAGCGCAGTGTAGTAGCTCAGCGCAATGCAGCGCAGATCAGCACAGAGCAGATCAGTGCAGTGCAGCGCAGATCAGCGCAGAACAGCGCAAATCAGTGCTGTGCAGATTTGTGCAGATCAGTGCTGTGTGGATCAATGCAGATCAGTGCTGTGCAGATCGGTGCAGATCAGTGCTGTGCAGATCGGTGCAGATCAGTGCAGCGCAGATCAGTGCAGCGCAGATCAGTGCAGCTCAGTACAGCGCAGATTAGTGCAGGGTGTTTGCAGTTGCAGCTCGCGCTGCTGAGCCGCCGTGTCGGCCTCAGCCACGGCCTCGGTGTCGGCAGGCGGAATTAAAAGCTGGCTGTGTTCTCTTTTATCTCCCTCTGGCTGGGCGGCCCGGGCCGGGCGCAGCCTGCGCGACTGGTTTATCAAAGGCAGGCTCACTGAAATCCAGCGGCAGCCGCGTGAGCTGGCGTCCCCTAATGCAGCGGCCGTGCAGTCGCTCTGGCGCCCCGCCCCGCCCCGCCCCGCCACGCCCCGCCACGCCCCGCCACGCCCCACCACGCCCGGTTGTCACCGCGCTGCTAGCTGGATGCTGCCTCTAAAGAGCCTGGCTGGCTTGGCTGGTGGGCGGTGGATGAGTGAGTGGGGAGGGGTAGAGAGACGGAGAAAGTAGGAGAGACGGTACGGAATAGGAGAAGCTAGAGGAAGGGAGAGAGAGCGAGAGCGAGAGAGAGAGAAGGATTACCGAGATCACGTCCATTGAGGATCGCCGTAGCGGAAGGACGACCCCCGGAGCAACCAAGTGCGACCCCCACCCTAGTCTCCGCCCCCCTATCCCCTTCACCGTTCTCTGTGCACTCTTTCCGTCTCCTTTCACCCACCCCCTGGGTCTTCCTTTCCCTCTCTCCTTCCGCCCCGTTGACCAGACCCAGACAGCCTCTCCCCTCTCTCTCACACACATACACCCACACACACACACGCGCGCACACCCACACACCCCCACACCTATACACACAAACTCACGCTCACACACACACACACACACACACACACACACACACACACACACACACACACACACACACACCACAGATCCGCTATAGCGCTCCTGCAAGTCCCCTTCCCCTCTTCCCTCGCGACCCCTGGGCTGGAAAAGTGTTGAGAATAACGAGACGTGCAGTGCGCTGCTCGTTATCCAGTACGCGGTATAGGCCCGTCCCC